AATCGAACACATTCTATTCCAGGCAGTTGGGAAGAAGTATCCAAACCATCCATGTTGATTAAAGATCAGCGGCCCACGTCCCTGCCCGCTGGATGAGGGACACACTCTGCTTTTCACTAGGTGGCTCATCTAGCCGCTGGAAGTGCTAACATTGAAAACAAATTGAAAACATGGCATGTATCTACTTTTGGTCAGGTGCGGGGCTGAAGGAACTTCGGTTACAGAGCTGAGCTCAGCCTTCACACAGGGCCATGGAGGCCCTGACGGAGCGCGGCTGCGCGTGCTCTTGGACGTGCCTTTGTTGTCTTATCAATGCAGCGAGACTAACAGTCCCCACTTTACTGCAGACCGTGAAGACTGAACAAGAATAGGAATGCAGCACACCCTTTGGACACCAGCTACTACTCCTATTCAGGAGAGAGTTGGTTGTCACCGACACCATGGCATGCCTACCCAGCAGTGGGATGTCTGATGACACAAACTCTTTATTTAAAGACTATAACTTTTAAAGTGGGACCGTGACATTTTTCTGGACACAATTGAAGAGAAAGAAGACTAACTCTGAAACCAACTGACTTTAAAAAAAGGCTTGAAGCTCAGCGCTCTAGTCAGAGTAATTGCCTGCTGGCATTGACTTCTCCCTTCTCAGAGGCTGCTGGTGGGTGAGACTCTCCCTGAGATGTGCTGTGTCCCTCGGGACTCACCTAAGCAGATGGCACTGGCATCTTCATGGTGCCCGCAGTTGTGGGAGAACCATCCACTGTGCGTGCACTGCCACACCTCGGCTTCGTTCCCTGTACAGCGCACGTCATCCAGCATGATGTGGCCAGTACCTCCGTCAAAGTAGCTCCGAGCTGGGGCGGACAAGGCCTCGCCACAGCCGAGCTGCTGGCACACCACCCTGGCGTCCATCAGGTCCCAGTTGTCATCGCACACCGTGCCCCAGGTACCATTGTAGAAGACTTCCACCCGGCCCTCACACCTGTGGCTGCCGTTCACCAGTCTCAGGGACACACCTGGGGGACAGGAAAATAGAGGTCTCCGAACTGGGCTGTTGTCCCTAAACTCTAAGACCTTTTTCAGATAGAGAATGCCCAGAACTTGGGCACATTTTCCCACATTAGCTATTGGACTCTTGACAGGATGCCCCTCTGTCCTAATTTGCCTGGAATAGTCCTGGTTTATGACTGTCATAGATCAATTAATGACTGTTAATTACTTGAGAGTCTTGAAAACTCTCAAAAGTATCCCAATTAAAGGAGAAATTACATGGTTACCCCAAATATAATCCACTGAGAGCTCTGAGATGTCCACATATCCTGCTGTATAAATGTTCTGGGTGGTTCTTATACTGAATTCAGCTGGGAGCAGGTGGGCTGGTAGTTGCAGTTGGAGATGGTTTTGTTCCAGAAGGATTCGCCTACTGCACATTCCCTTCCTTTGAAGAAGAGGGAGGCTCTCATTTGCGTCCTCCATCCATAGCTAAAGCAAGATATGAGATGCAGCTACCTGTTTCTTTAGGCAGGATGTTTTAGTGAAAGATAAGGATGGTGAGTGGCAGAGCAGGGTGCTGAGTGGGCTGGGGGCTGTGAGTGTCCGAGTGGACGTCACTCAGGATGTCATGAATGAAGGTGGCCTCTACAGGTCAGATTTAGAAAAGCATATCCTCTCTTAAAGGGGAAGGACACAAATTAGATCTAAATTCTCTCCAAGTAGGTATGAGGATACTTACCAGTCTCCCTCCCATCTTGACGAAGGCCATTGTACAGAGCGTAAAACCCTGTGTTGGTGATCATGGCGTCACTTCTGAACACTACGGTCATGATGTTTGAAGAAGAGAGGAACGTGAGCTCTTCCCCAGCACAGAATCTGCCCATGGAGAGTGAGGCCACTTGCCGTCCATCAAACACTTCAATGAAGTCATAAGGACACCCATAGACATCTTCTAATCTGAAGAGGTAACACAGAGTTAATCTCGCCAAAGAAATCTGCAGAACTATCTTAAATAAAATCATTATTTGCATCGCTTTCCTGCCAGAAACTGTGATCATCCTTGCTACCTCCCTCCAACCCACACACCCCACTAGCAGGCCCGCCCCCTTAAACACTGCTTCAGTCTGCCCTCCTGTCCTCTATTGGGACTGGCCCAGGTCCGTCATCCCTTCATCCTATCTCGCTTAGTCTATTTCAGTCTATTTCAAGATTCCCAACTGGTACCTTGGTGTTCATTCACTCTCTTGCACCATCATTCTTTCTACCTTGAGTGTCTCCCGAATGGCACCTGACTCTATTCAAACTCTGCCACTCCCGGGGTGGTGGCAAGTGTCTACTAGGTTCTCATTGAGTAAAACTCTCACAAGACCCAGAGCAAAGAGAAACGAGGACAGCTGTAAAAGATCCGAGGGCCTGTTGACGAGGATTCTTCCCTTCAATATCCCAAACTGCCTGGTTCAAACCAAATGTTTTCGTGACATGTTTCAACTAACTTGGATGATCGGAGAAGCTGTCCCTGACCATTCCACCTAACGCTGTCATCTTTGCTGCTTTTACTCTATCCTATTACCTTATATGTATATGTTTGTTCTTCCTAGCACTTATCCACTTACCGCTAACTGAAATGGTCCATCGAGATACTGGTTTATTTGAGTACTATTTGTCTCCCCATCTAGAATGTAAATTCCATGAGGGTAGAGATCTTGTCTGTCTTGTTCAGCGCTGTATGCCCATGTCTAGACCAGGGCCTGCCCAGAGACTGGGCTCAATAAATATCCATTTAAAGAACATCAGTATTTATCAAACATGATAAAAACGTGAGATGTGCCCATTTGCATTTAAATAACAATAAGAAGGCCTTGATGCACATGAGTGCTCACTATATAACATATACGTAATGGCCACAACTACACTTGACCACAAACGACTGAATTTGAAAACCTGCTTATTGCACAGCACACCTGTTCCAATAAAGTAAGAGCCAAGTACCTCAAAATAACAAATTTCTAATATTTTAAGAAGAAGTGATAACATTTGTATGTAAGGTGAAAATAGTGTGGCAGTAATGGTGACGCTGCCACCTGAGAAACCATTTCATTAGAAAATAGGGCACACTTCACTTAGCAAGAATGAAATAGCATACTTTAAATATGGGTACAGTTTTTACAAATCGAGTGCAAAGCAAACCTCCACAGAGGTTTCATGTTCCTCATAAAGCAAGCTTCAGTGCAAATTAGGGTTTTTGTCTCAGCACTATTGACATTTGGGGTGGGATAATTCTTTGCTGTAGAGGCTGCCTTGTGAGTTGTGGGATACTCAGCAGCTTCCCTGGCCTCCACCCACCAGATGGCTGTGGCACCCCCACCTCCACGGCGATCATCAAAAACATCTCCACACCTAGCCAAATGTCCTGTTGAGATGCTATCATCTTTCCCAGTTGAGACTCACTGGAGCAACTAATAGCTAACTTTGTATCCTAAAAAGCAAAAAAGCAAATATCAATACATCTAGACTTAAAAACGTCAGAACCCCAAACTAGTGACTAAGCCCTGACTCTAGGCAGTGCATTAGACAGCTCCTTGGTTGGCATGCTCTGAAATTATGGTAGCATATTTACATCGGAATAATAACCTTGAGACACAGGGGGTGTGGGTCATTACAGCTGTTTTCCGGAAGTAATATAATGGTCCCAAAACATTAGCACCGTGAGTTTAATAGATTTGAAATATATGGTACCAAATCTTCTCACATTGCTTTCAACAAGTCAATGTGTGTGGAATAAATGAATGAATGAATGATAAATACATTTTGCTCTTGATACATCGAATCCATCCCTCACCTCACTGCCTACTCATTTTACATTTGAAGGCAGCGTTTTACCATTCAGAGCTTTGACTTCTGTGGCTGATGAGCACAGATGGAAAGCAGTGGCAGAGGTCTGGGACAGACGATGTGACAATGAGAGGGAGACAGAATGACCCAGATGTGACCCAGTGAGATGGAACCAGGGTTAAATATTATTAGGAAAAGTAATATTTTCATTAAATTCACTCCTGTATGTGTACGTGTATGTGAATATATATGCATATAAATACGCATAGAAATAGGGTGAATTCCTTTAAAAATGAATGATGGTTCGAGAAACAAATAGGACGTACAAGGCACGCGGGAGGAATGAATGAACTGAGGCTATCTGTAGAAGAAAAGTCTCAGTAGAGACATGATGGAAAAGGGGAAAGTAGATTTGTTTTGTGTAGCATCACAGGGAAGAACGAAGAAGAGAAGATGGGAATGAAGAGCAGGTCTGGGATTAGCCGGAGGAAAAAGCTGTGTCTGCAGATGGAGCTGGCGAGGATGAAGGGGTGAAGTTTTCGTGGTGGGTCCCCTCGGCTGAGGCTCAACGGCTTGGTGTCAGGGATGCTCGTGGAATGTTGTCTAATTGCGTGGAAAGCTGAGCTCAACGATTAAAACACTCTCCTAAACTCAGATGACCAGACAGACTTTCACCTGAAATGTAAAAGGACTGGTCATGTGGTACTATAGGCCGAATGCTTGTGTTCCCCCAGAATTCATAGGCTGAAACCTACCCCTCGATGTGATGGCGTTAGGGGACAGGGCCATTGGGAGGCGATTAGGTTAGGAGGGCAGGGCCTGCGTGAATGGGATCAGTGCCCTTGTGAAGAGACCCGAGGAAGCTCGCTTGCTCTTTCTTCCATGTGAGGGCAACCATCTCTGAGAAAATGGTCCCTTATGAGACACTGAATCTGCTAGTGTATTGATCTTGGACTTTCCAGCCTCTGGAACTCTGAGAAAGGAATTTCTGTTGTTTATTAAGCTGCCCGGTTTATGGCATTTTTGTCATAGCGGGCTAAATGGACTAAGACGCACAGAAAGGCTTCTTTTTTGAGGAAAGAATGGACTCAAATCTAATCCAGCATTTGAATAGAGAAAAGCAAAGCTGCTTACTTCAGGCTTGGTATCATTAACTCTATGTGGAACTTCTCAGCCAAGTGTACCACCCAGACACACTCCACGTTGGTGGGGTAGTTCGTAGGATACCAAGGACTGGAAAAGGAGCCCGAGAGACTTGAAATTACTCCTCCGCAAGAGTTACTTCCTCCTATAAAAACAGACAAGACCCACGGATGGCTTCTTCGGACATGCACCTTGCATTTTCTCAGGTGTAGAATTTAGAATTCCACCCGGCTTAACAGTGAATCATAAAATGGGAAAGGGTCATGCTGGTATAGATACAGTTGTGGCTTGGCTGATATGTGACTATACCCCTGGGAGGGGACGCAAAAGAGGAGGAAAGGTGTATGACAGGAGGCAGGACCCTAAAATTCATTGTCAGCGAGATGAGAAATGGGATCGGACATATAGGTAGCAGGTGTGGGGTGTCTGGGCCATACTTCAATAATGCTCTCCCCAGCTTCCTGCCTTGCAAGCTCAATCCACAGTCCTTCATGAGGGGTCCATCCCACCAATTCTTCCCCCGTGGAAGCCAGGACAGACAGACATCTATTCTGCTTTTATGAATTATCAAAGTGATTCCATCCTTTACAGGTGATACCGTCATTGAAAGAGAGTTACCTTGTGGTAGAGATGCCTGAGGAACAGAAGCTGCAAAATTCAAAACCGGAGGAAGTCAGGAAAGAGCTTAGCATCGTGAAATCATCCTATACTTATACAGATGAACGAACGCGCTACCGCTCTCAGGCAGAGGTGGAGAAATAACTCTCCACCTCCGCAACCCATGCCAAACAGGCAGCCACAAGGGCTGGTGACCTCCACTTGATGCCTTTGGGACCTGGATTGAAGTAAGAGGTCCCTACCAAGTGTCCTTTCAAATGCATCATGGTGGTGCCAACCCACAGAAGGGACAGCTGCTACCTTCATTGCCCAGCCCTAGAACACTGCAAGGTGCACCCCTGACCTCCACCTTCCCCACACCCAGGCCCCCACTGAGGGCAGAGTGTGGCAGCAGCCACGGGGAAGGTGTGGGGAGGAGGCTGCTTTTGGGGGTCAAGGGCACCAGTGAGCAAGGTAGTGGGCAGCTGGGAACCTGTCCTAGAGAGGCAGGTGGCTGCAGGAGGCAGTTCTACATGTGCTCCGATATAGCTGGAATCTTGAGGTTGGGAGGCCACTGTTACACACTGACTTTGAGTAGTTACCAGATGAAGATCCACCCCTTCTCCACTCCCATGGTGTTGGCTAAGCCAGGAGGCCCTCGGGGGAGCCCCGATAGGTTCACTTCTCACCACTCGTCCGCTCTTGACCCTCCAGGAGAGAGTCTGGCTTTTAGTGCATCTGTATTTTCCTGCGAGCTTTCATTTCCTAATCCATGTCCCTGAGAGGCAAACCTTTCCACCTCCTCTCCTCTCCCTATCAGTCTTCTTCTCAGCCACCGTGATGGAAACTTCCTTCTCCATCCCCCCTCCTGCCCTTCTTTGCTCTGACTCCAGACAGGAGAGGCTTGGATGCCATTTCATTTGGGAGATGTAGCTTTTAGCTCACTGTTAAAGCCACCAGTTCTCAACATTGGCCACACGCTGGAATCACACGGGAAGTTTTAAATAGAACTGATGACTGGTGTGACCTTAGCGGGTCTCATGTGACTGGTCTGGGGCACAGCCAAGGCTTCGAGAATTCTAAAAGCTCCTTGGGTGATTCTAGTGTCCAAGGGGCTGTCCACCGGTGTCTAGGTTAGGACAGAGATTAGACGTCTTATTCACTTTGCAGAGATATTGGAAATTCAGTGTCTAACCTACCTGGGGGTGTAGGAGTCACATCTGGAGACCAGTCCCCAGCATCTGCATGCATGAAAAAAGGTAAATTTAGGGAATCGAAGTTAAATTCTATGAAGACAAAGAAGTAGTTTTCTAGCGTGGGCAGGTCTCACGCAGGCAGGCTTCATGTCACACAGCAGTGCCAGACCTGGGCATGGTTGAAGAGGACGGAACCCTCCCATTGTGTGGCCCTGGTGTGTTGTGTTTTCAGAATGGAGTCAGCCTCTCAGCATTCTCTGTCAACCTGGCTGAGGGACATTCATCTGTCAGGCCACTGGCCTTCGTTTCCCTGGCCCTGCTCTGTGCACACCTTCCATCCGTCACTAAGAAGCCACTGGCTGAAAGATCCTGCCATGGGAGGAGAGGCTACCTGAACAGACGACACTGGCATCCTCATGGTGGCCACAATTGTGGTCTGACCAGCTGGAGCTAGGGCACTGGCCGAGGTGGTTCTCGCTTCCCAAGCACTGCAGGTTGTCCAGAAGGATATCTCCGGAGCCCGGGCCAAAACGGGCATTCCCAGGGGCGGCGATGGCCCGCCCGCACCCCAGCTGTCGGCACACGACCTTGGCTTCGTTCAGGTCCCACAGGTCGTCGCACACGGTGCCCCAGACCCCCCGGTGAAAGATCTCCAGGCGTCCTGAGCACCGTCCGGAACCGCCTACCAGCCGCAGCTCCGGTCCATCTTCTAAACAGAATGGGATTTTATTTTTGAGTTTGGGACATTTTAAGTAGGAAGGATTTTTTAGCATTCACATTTAGCAAATAAATGCAAGAGCAAAGCCTTAAGGTTGTCTTGATCCAGTAATAAGTTGGATTTAAGGGCTTAAGAGTGAGGTGGAGGAGGGGTTGAAACCTAGCTCTGTTGCTCCCTAGCTGTGTAACCTTTGACAAGTTACTCCATCAGTCTCGAAGCTGCTCGATCTTCTCACCAAGAGTGCCAAGTAGGCAATTGAAATAAGGCTGTTCATTTCCACAGGGAACGACAAGTTACTCCATCAGTCTTGCTAGATCTTCCCACCAAGAGATCTAGCTGCTAGATCTTCCCACCAAGAGTGCCACGTGGGCAATTGAAATAAGGCTGTTCATTTCCACAGGGAAAAGCTGTATTCTCTGAAGGGTCTTGTGCCCATGTACTGGACACGTGGGAACTGTCCAGAGTGCTGAAACTTAGAAGCCAAACTTTCCCGAAGAATCCACTTCCCTCCACCAGCTGCCCAACCTCATACCCTAGACTCACCCAGATGAGAAGCCTGGGGACTCTTTCAGCCATGGCCCTATGGGCTGTCATTTCAGAACCAAGTCCGAGTTGTACCCAGCAAGCATACTACCTGCCAATCACAGAGCCTCTGATGCTCAGGGAGGTCTTTCAAAATTTATCCCAGGCATCTGCTAATAGGGGAGTCCCTCGAATTAGAAAATGGGTCTCTCATTTAAACACCCAAACAACTACTTGAAGCTTCCTACCTGACTCTCCTTTGTCTTGTGGAATCACATCGAACAGAGCGTGAAAGCCAGTGTTGGTGGTCACAGAATCACTTTGAAACACCACTGTCATAATGTCTGAGGAGGAGAAAAACATCACAGCTACTGGGGCACAGAACTTCCCCATGGAGAGTGAGGGAATTCTGGGACCATCGAAGATTTCAACTGAGTCATAGGGGCATCCAAGGATATCTTCCAGTCTGGAGGAATCAGAGTGGAGGGTGAGCAGCAGGTTAGAACTTCCTTTAAGATCTTAAAGCTTAAAAAGTATGACAATCATAAGGTTAAACATTTGAATTATATTTTAAGTTGCACATTAATATATAAAATATCAATTAACTTTTTTCAGATGTCTTATTATCAGAAGTCTTATTTTCTTTGAGGAATGTGTGATATCTATGGGTACGACTTAGTAACAGAAATTTTGAAATCATAATTTTAGCCAATCACGACCTCCATGGAACATTGGGAAATGCTAATGTACACTGCAAATGAATTCTTAGCAGTCAGATTATCAGCATGTAATCGACATCACAGCCGGATTTTCCTATCTCTGTATTTCACATTTTCCATACCCAAATTCTAAGGGAGAAAAAATCATGATTTTAAAATAAAAAATGTCAACATGTTAAAGAGTATTTGCACTATGGTGATTCTTCACGAGGTATGTGTATGGGCGGTGATTTTGACAGGGTAGACAACTGATACCATGATAGACTTTGGAGATGTGGGTTCGATGTTTTCATTTCCTTGTAGGCTATCTGTATCCTTAGGGTTTTAGTCAACAAAGATAACATGTTTCTAGGATATTCTTTGGCATAGGGCATATCTCACTCCCTGGAGCAATGATTCTGTGCATGCTAAAGGTGGATTATCACCGCATTTCACAGTGTTGTGTTTGTGGCATTATGTGTGTCATAAACAAGGAGAAAAGCTTTGTGCACGCTTTAGTGGTGAAGAGCTGGGCTTTTGATGTCAGACAGACATGGAAGGTTAACCTTGGGCAAGTCAGTTAACCTCTCTGAGCCTCAGTTTCCTTATTTCTAATGGGGACAATTAGGGCTATAGTGATGCTGGGGTATGGCAGAGATTACAAAGTACATTATACAGAGCCTGGGCATGTGGCCAACACCAAAAACATGTCAGCTCTCATCTCATGTCATGGAGATAAAAATGGCAGTGACTTTGGAAAACTGATTCTCTTCATGTCAGAGATAAAGCAATGACTCCATGGTCTCCTTTTCCTTTGCGGCAACATTTAGAAGATGCGGGGCCCACGGCTGGAGTAGTTGGCTAATGCGTGTGTGTGTGAAAAGCTTCTTACTGTTTGTTTAAAATTTATAAAATGGAAAAAGAAAGTCTAAGAGAATAAATATTGGTACCTGGTGTACAACAAGGGCAAAGCTAGTAAGGAGAATTTTTGTGGTATTTTTTGAAAAAAAAAATTTAAAAACTATCAAAATAAGGTTAAGACAAATATGTTAATAAATCACTGATTTTTTTCAAGCTAGAAGTTACTCATTGGCTAGCACTCCAAAATTAACCCAAGCTTCAAATTAGAAAGAATTTTGTGTCTTTCTGGTTTCACCCCTAAGGGTTTCCCATCAAAAGAACTATCTTTATTACGATTTCACAAACCGATATTCTTATTCAGATAAAGTCTTCTCTGAGAAAGTTGTTTTCTTACTTCAAACTCGGAATCATGAGTTTTATGCGAAATCTTTTATCCACGTGGATCTCCCAAACACACTGGACATCTGTGGGGTAGTTGTCTGGGTACCGTGGACTGGAAAATGAGCCAGAGAGGCTAGAAATGACTCCTCCGCAAAACGTCTGTCCTCCTGAAATAACAGGAAAAATGATGTCAGGGTGTGTCCACGTGGCGTCACTGGTGTGATCCCAGCAAGGACCAGCTCCCGCCAGTGGCCTGAGGCAGTCAGTCGGACAGCAGTCTGCTAGGTGGGCACACACAAGGCTGTCTGGATAGATTTTAGCCTAAAGTCTCCTAGGAAGGAGAATCCGTTCAAATCTAATTCTGATGAGTCAAAAAGTGTTAGTGTGTGAGAGTTCCCTGCCTTTCCCACTCCCCCTACCGTCTGATAAAGAAAATACTATATTCGTCCTGTCTGTTTACTATTTCTTCCCTCTTTCTAAAGTGGGAGGACTTGTGCTTGCTGGGAGAGAGGCAGGGTAGATCTCATGAGAGGTTGAGAAAGAGAGACTCAGAGACAGAGGTGTAACAAGCCTGGAGAAGAGAAGGGTTCGAGGAGGTTTGGAAACTAAAGGCTCTAGAACCGCTTTGTGGTCTGATGAATTGGCGGCCCAGGGAAAGGGGACGTTGTGGACCGTTTGGGGAGATTACGGCTGGAATTTCCTCTTATGTACATTTTCATCACTTTTTCTGGGTGGACTGTTTCCTTTAACTCAAAATCTACCAAGACTGGAACTTGGTTTTAAAGTTCCTTTAGCCTTAGGAATCCAGGTTGGGTTTTTTTGTTTTGTTTTTCAGTTTTGTGGTTTTTGGGTTTTTGTTTTTGTTTTTGTTTTTTTTTTGGTATTTATAAGGGTTAAACAAGACAACGGTGAGATCTAATTCTTCCATATTAGTTGTCTTATTAATATAAACACATATACATTTATTAATATAAATAGATACATACACATGTGTGCATTTAAAGTAACAGGCCACACAAAAAAAGCAGAAAACTTAGAATCATCATTCTTTGAAAAAATTTGAAAATCCAGTGTGCTTTACTATCCTTGTTCCTAAATTATTAAGTTATTTAATTTTCTTTTTTCTATTCCCCACTGTAACCTTCCCAGAATCCCACAGATTCCTGGTTCTTCCTGCGATCGATGACAGGAAGCAGTAAAACACCCGCTTTCGACGTCATTGAAAGCTCTATCGTTAATTGCATTTGTAGGTTATAATAATTAGGGCCAGGTCAGACCGACTCTGAAACCCCTGGGACGTGGGCTCCCTAACACCTGCGTACATGGCAGGGGATGATGGGCTGGTGCCTGTTGTGAGTGCCCCCTACAGGACTGTACCCAGAGAGGGCAGGCTGAGTACAACCAGATGGACTGAGCCCTGGTCTCTTCAAGTCTCCTGTCCCCTTCCTGCCTACTCTGACTTGGGCAGATCCACACGCCCCCTTCCCGCCCGCTCCTTTGGTTAAAAATGTCAGTATTCATAGGCATTAGAAGGCCTAAGGCCATGTCCCTGGGCATGTCCCTGTAGGGAGGACTGAGGGGTTTCTCCAGCTGAGGTCCTGACTGCCCGGGCTCCTCACTGAAGGGGCTGTAACAGGACCGGCATGGGCGGAAGCAGCCCCTTGCTCACACTGTGACAGTTTCTTTGTCCCATGTCCTGGGAACACTGCCCAGCACCTACTATTTTGGCATCGAGTTACCATTTCAATTTAAGACAAGTGATTACCTGTTACATGATTCTGAGATGCTGTGGAAAGACCTAGAAGGAAAAAAAGAGAGATAATGATGATATCCAGAGGAAAAATACTTTGTCTCACCTACATGTTTGCAAAATGTAACGGGTTTCCTTTGAAATGTCAGTGTACTTAATGCAAACAGAAAAGTCTGAAGGTGCTGAGTGAATCTTCTCCACAATCCTGTGGCAGATTAAAGAAAACTACAAACTCTTGGTCATGTCTCCTGTCATGAGGTGGGGTCTAGGTCCCCTCCCTTGAAGACTTGGTGACTGCTTTGATGAATAGAATGTGATGGATGTGACATTGTGTCTTTAAAGACTGGCGGCTTCCACTTCCTGTCTCTGGGAACACTGGCTTCTCAGGGCTTCCTGAGCCACCTTGTAAGAGGTCTGAGTGCCCTGCAGGAGAGACCATTCAAAGAGGCTCTGAGACCCATGGAGAGGAAGGTGGCCCTGACCAAGCTCACCTGACCAAGGCGCCAGGCATGTGAGTGAAGCCGTCCTAGAGTCTCCAGACCAGCCACCAGGTGAACACCACCAAGTGACCGCTCAGTGCAGTGTGGAGCAGAAGAATCTCCCAGCTGAGCCCTCCCCAAATTCCTGACCCATGAAACCATGACATATAACCAGAAGGTTGTTGTTTTAAACCACTACGTTTCAGAGTAGCAGTAGATAACCAGGAGGGTTCCTCTCACTCACATGGTCTTCTTCATTCCCCTGTCCTCCACATAACTTTCAGCTTAGCTGAGTTACATAAAATGAGAATACAGGTGAATGTTCATTTGAATGCCCACTGCCATTGACCCTAACCATGACCTTTATCTTTAGACAGCCCTACCCCTCTCATTCATGATCCCAATTCATGAAGCTGCCTGGCCCCCAGGGACACCCAGAACACATCAAGGTTTTCTCCAGGCAAGTGCCCAAGAGAGATGCTTTAGCCAATAACTTGTGACCTGCGTGTATTCTTCGAGGCTCTGTGGGGGCAGCCAGGTGCTTTAAAAGAGCAAGAGATGGGGCTTTAAAAATTCCAGCTTGCCACTTTCTAATCGAGTTATCTTGGGCCAGCTTCTTCATCTCCCTCATCCTCAGATGTGAGGATTAAACAAACTTATGCTGAAACCCTAGCATCGTGCCTGCTGCCTGCAGATGCTCAGAAGTGTGCGCTACAACGAAACGAAATGCCTTTGCATTCACCTTCGGCATCATTCCAGATTTTACGTCACACGTATTGGTCTGATTTTTCTATTCTTTGGTTTGTATTACAGATGAATATTATTCGATCATTAAGTTATAAAATCTTTGAAAACAGGCAAAAGTCCTAAGATCCTCGAGAGTGTGTACTTAGAGGTCAGATTGATCAGTGTCAAAACATGGCTCCACCATAAACTTGCCAAGCAATCTCAGGAAAGTTACTTCACCTTTCTGCATCTCGAATTTCTCTTCTGTAAAATATAATATAAAATGCCTTTTCGTAGGATTGTCCTGAGGATTACCAATAATCTGAGCAAAATTTTCTCCCATCTCCACACTAGTTTCCCTGGTCTTTGTGTAGTCAAGGGCCAATGAACAGGTGTGGTACATAAGATTGGTGGTCAAAAGCAACAACAGCTTGGGTTCGAACCCACTGGCTGGTCCTGGGTACATTACTGACTTTCTATGTCTCAATTTACCTACCTGGAAAAGGGGAATAATCCAAGTACTTATCTCAAAGGTTATTGTGGGATTTAATATTATTAAATTCCCAGAAGAGGGTTGGGGTTTCAGCATTTATAGGTCTTTGATGTTATTATTATTATTTTTATAAAGTTGCTTAGACTAGAAAAAAAAGGGAACATACCTGGAGGTGTGGGAGGAGGCAGGTCTTCAGCATCTGGATGAATAAGGAAAGGCAATAGGTTACTTTCTTTAGTGAATTCAAAGCGTGGAGGAGGCGGGGTGACAGGGGCGTGGTTGGGGGGTGAAGGGGAGAGGATCATGGTCTTTCTGGGCATGGAACCAGGGCACCAAAACTGCCCCCTGGGCAATGCCAGCTTTCCTGTTGCGGGTCCCTTGGCTTCGGGAGGGGGTGAACAGCAGCTGGGTTGATTCTGCCTCATGGCAGCCAGGACTGGATTACCTGCAGCCCCTCTAATGCAGAATAACCTAGAATACTTGTTAAAATGCAAATTCCAGAGCCTCTTTCCAAACCGAGGTAGCTGTAACCTCTGGGGGCAGGTACTGGGGTCTGCAGTACAATGTCCTGGGTGGGGCCAGTGCACATGGACATTCACGACCTCCCGCGCACAACCTGGAGCTGCCCATGGCAGGACGTGTGTCTGAGCCCAGGGCCAGGCACAGAGTAGAAGCTCGAGGATTGTTCGATGAAAAAATGAACATGTGGATAGATGGATAGATGGATGGATGGAAATTCCATCTGGGACGCATAGTTTCAAAATGCCTTCATCCATAACATCTGAAATTATTGCCTGGGAGGGGAGAGGTTACCTGAGCAGATGACACTGGCATCCTCGTGGTGGCCACAGTTGTGCTCCGCCCAGCCTGAGTGGGCGCACTGGCCCAGGTAGCTCTCCACCCCGGCGCACTGTAGGTTGTCAAGGAGGATTTCTCCAGAGCCCGGGCCAAAGTGGGCCTTTCCAAGGGCGGACACGGCCCGGCCACACCCCAGCTGTCGGCACACAACCTCGGCTTCGTTCAGGTCCCACAGGTCGTCACACACGGTGCCCCACGTGCCCTGGTGGAGGACCTCCACGCGTCCTGAGCACCGACCGGAGCCGCCCACCAGCCTCAGCTCTGGCCAGTCTCCTGTAGACGGAGATGGAGTGTGAGTCCCTAAAAGACCCACCTGGTGTCCGCCAGCACCAGGCCTCAGAGACCAGCCGAACTACGGGTTTGGGGAGGTACATGATCTGGTCTGTAGCCTTGGAGCTTGTCCCTCATGGTTCTCCTGTATTTCTTCAGCCAGTCTAATTTTATTTCAACAGTATTGATTGATTGCCTTTCCTCTTAAGTACTGATGATACAGCAATAAACCACAGAGCTATGGTTCTGTCCTCGTGGAGCCTACAGTCTACTTATGAGCCAACTGTATACACTAGCACAACGCACCATTCCCATCGTGATAAATGCAGAAAAGAGCAAGAACGAGACGCTCTAAAGAGACTAATGCGGGGTGTTGGGGGCTGTGCAGACTCCACTTAAAACAGTGAGAAGGAGCTGGTCGGGCGAGGAGTTGGGGAAAGGCCTTTGAGCCAGAGGAAAAGCACGTGCAAAGACCCTGATGCCATTTCACTCCTGCATGCATCTCTAACACACATGCAGCCATGATCACACGCAAAAAAATCAAGAGCGAGAATCAAATGAGACTTTTAAATGACATCTCAATGGTGTGAAAATCTCTGTGGTTTACAGAGGGTAGACTGAGAGCTGGAAGAAGAAACAGCCTCCAAAAAAATAAAAACAGTTGCTATTTAAGTCCCATGAAAAAAAAAGTGTGACCTACCTGGACTATTAATAAGTGACTCTGCGGCATCTGTTTATATAGAGAATAAATAGGTCAGTATTTTTCAGGAATTCTGACTTTTCGTAACTGAGGACAAAAATTTTAATTACATCCTTATAAATGTTTATTGATCTGATATAGGAAAAGTCCCTTTAAATAACATAGTACTAGGAGAACCAGATTAATCCATGGACCTAAAAGAAAGCTATTCGCATGTTGGTTTGCTATGGCATTATGAGAAAAAGGCCAGACGTGATGGGCACGCTTGGGATGATAAGACTTAAACTACTGATTTTGTAGCAGCTGAGTTTCGCTTCAGGAAGTTTTGGGGGTACCTCAGATTCAGTCATTCTCTAGAAGGTTGAACCTTGAGAATAACATGTGGCCTGAGAGGCTACTGTAACTAGTTTAGATGTGCCACACATAAGACACCACAAAACAAACAGGTGGACAAATGAATGCACAACAAGACAATAGTTATAAATAGGTGCCTCGAATGAAAAGCCACAGGTAGCAGATGCTGACATACAATTGAGCTGCTTCTCACATGGGCAGCTCTAGGTGACACGTGCCCCTTCACATGACAGTGACTGAGTCTTTCAAATAACAGCAGGCATTATGACTATTAGTGTACCAAAATACATCTCATTATCAAAAAGGGTTATTAATAGACTTTCCAGAAGTGACTAAGTTAGTCTAGCTAATTGTTCGCACATAAGTCCAAAGTATTTTAAAAAATTGTCACAAAGCAATTAAAATTCGCTATTTTAGTTCACTGATTTCCTTGGTGTTGTGATTGAGGAAAATGGTAGTAAAAATGGCCAAGTCTGCAGCCTCTGGTCAGGGACTATGCAAGTACTTTACAGAAGATAGCTTGAATGCGTCAGCACTCCCGCAAGGAAGCAATTAGTCTCCTAACTTTACAAACGAAACGGAGGCTCTGAGACTTTAAGCATTGCCCAGTGCAGTCTGAGCATTAGCACCAGTGCTGAGATCCAGACTTGGGTCTTTCTAGCTCTGAATTCTTTCTTAAACTTACCACATTGGCTGCCTCTTTGAATGAAAGATCTTTCGATAAGCTCCTTAAAAATTCCCATAATTCAACATGTTCTTTGCCCACATCTGTATTCAGTAAAGCACACATACCTTTGGTAATTCTTACCACCAAATTAGAAAATTAGGTTTTATCCTTAAAGACTAACAGTTTAAATGTTATATATTTAACCAAGTTAGAAGAGATAAAGCAAAAATCAAATGCTTCATGTTTGAGGACCCTGTCTTGCCCCTGGCTGACTCTGAATTCTAGCAGGGTAATCTTGAAGCATTTGGGGACTGGCAGTGATCATCTGAAAAAGGAGAGACTACCTGAGCAGGTGACACCAGCATCCTCGTGGTGGCCGCAATTGTGCTCCGCCCAGCCTGAGTGGGCGCACTGGCCCAGGTAGCGCTCCACCCCGGCGCACTGCAGGTTGTCAAGGAGGATTTCTCCAGAGCCCGGGCCAAAGTGGGCCTTCCCAAGGGCGGACACGGCCCGGCCACACCCCAGCTGTCGGCACACGACCTCGGCTTCGTTCAGGTCCCACAGGTCGTCACACACGGTGCCCCATGTGCCCTGGTGGAGGACCTCCACGCGTCCTGAGCACCGGCCGGAGCCGCCCACCAGCCTCAGCTCTGGCCAGTCCCCTGCAGATAGAGACCTGGTGACCACTGCCCTCTGGGGACATTGCATATTTCCCATGAGCTGGTTGAGCTCCCCACCCCCGCACTACTATTATGGATGGAGAAGTGGTTAATCTCATTAAATCATTAGGATTGTCAAAACAACATTTAACTTAAAACTCCCATTATTTGAGCAGCTACTGGGCCAGAGGGATGTGCCGACCTGTTTTGGCTAAATGCAGAAAAACATTACAAGTAATTTGCATGGTGATTTGTGATTTTTGTGAAGTGTGTGTGTGTATGTGCGCGCGCGCGCGCGCGTGTGTGTGTGTGTGCCTTCACCTTTATAATAACTCGAGAAGTTGAGCAGATGAGTACTGATATGCTGAGTTTATCTGGGTAGCAACTGACAGTTGGAGAAGCAAAGTGATTCACCCCAAATCCCACATCTGGGAAGCAGCGGATCTGAACTCAGGTCTCCTGATTCCAAAGTTTACTGTTTTTCTTTTTCCCTCTGCTATTCTGTCTCGTTGTCTCTGGAATGGCTCTGACATTCTGCTCACCTTTTTAAAAGTCTATTAGTGATGCAGATGTGAGGTTAGCTAGGATAGGGACTGGCCATATCAAGGAAAGATAGAACCCCACCAGAAGGCACCTACATAGGGTTTGATGATTCTGAAAGGCTCTGGGAAAAAAAAATCGATTTTGCTCACCCGGGGATGCTAGAGCCGAGAGTTCTCAATAGTTTTAAATGGCCCCAAAAAGTCTGGATAGAGTCATCTGGCCCATTTACAAATAGATGAATCACTTGCAGTTGGTCCAGTGTCTGCCCATGAGGCAGGTACAGATGCAGATACCAAGAGGAAAGGACACTTGGTAATGAATGGGTGCCGTCCGGGGCTTACCTGGTCTTGCTGTTACCATCTTGGGCGTTGCTGTCGGGATTGCTATGGATACAAGAAAACGATCTTAGGTAAAAAGGGAAAACTTGAACAAATTAAAATTCTGAGATAATTCTCCATTAAATGCCAAGATTCTGACGAATTCATTCTCCCTAACATCTTTATAAGAAGTGACCTCCGAAATCAAACTCTCTTTACATGGGAGTCTTCATATTTCTCAGGTGTATGGGATCTAACAGAAATAATATTCTCTTTTTCTGCCTCGTCACTGAAAATAAGACAATTAGATTGTGCCCTTCTATGATAAAAAGCATTCACAATCAGTGTCCTTCTGGAGAGAACAGCCATTTCTTTTGCATGCTTCTATCTCTTTTTGTTGTCGTCGTCAACTTTCTCTAAAGTTGGAGTTTCTGATTAGGTGTGTTTCATCGGTTTTGATAAAAACAAGGAATTAGAGAATAAAATTGACAATTACCGATAAGCAGGGATCCAAGTGTTGACACGTGTAACTCGGTTCTACTGTGAATGGGCATCATACTTGTGCAAGAGTGTGTGGACAGAATATCTCAGCCACAGGAGATTTATACGGGCAATTAGGAAGGGTCCATGAAAGAGATCAAGCTATGACAGTAAAAGCACCAGGAGTGGGGACAGGGGAAGAAACACAAACAGGGAATGAAGGTTAAGTAACAACAGTAAGTGTGACTCACTGGTTAGACGTGGCGTCTGTGACATTGGCTCTGTAAATACAAAGAAACCATCGTCAACAACTGTTCGGTGTCAATTACAGTGACTTTCCCTGACCCGCTTTGTGACATAGAGCATCTCCACCGTTTTATGGCACGTCCCCACACTTGCTCAGTGAGTTACCCTGGTGCTTGCTAAAAAGTACAGAAAACTGTTCTGAACAGCATCTTAGCCAAGGTGGATGCTAGAACTTTCCATGAGCTCAGCCTCTTTTCTCTTAGTGATAAGTGGTGCAGGACCCATCCCTGGGTGACCTTGGGACACTTATCAAAACTTTTAAGCCTCAGTCTCCTCATCTGTAAAGGGGGAAAACCATAGGTTTGTGTGAGAATTAAAGGAGATAGCACATATAAAGTGCTTAAAATGTTGCCTGACATAAAACAGGCATTCCACGAAGGTAAGCTGTTACTGTGATCACTGCTGTTGCCATGACCTGACCTTGAATGCACTGTGCTTCATCCGAAATCCTTGGCTTAGCTTCTGTCTGCCTTCTCGCCCCGCAGCTTCTACACCCCATCTCTGTGCTCACACGGCCCTCGCCGGCTGTGCCCTATTTCTCTACTCACAGCCTAACTAGGTTTAAAGACAAATCTAAGGTTGTTTCCCATATTTCCTTAAAACTTTTTTTGTAGCTTACATTGGTCTCTCTCTTTCCTAATGCCTTTTGTTGACGTGCAGGCACACATTAATTTAGTATGTTTCGTTCGTTTGCCTTAATTTACTATATTTCATTTGTCCTCTTATGTTTGCATTGACTTCCTCTATTTCGTGCATGAGCCTCTTCGGCTGGTACCACACCCGTCTAGTACTAGGTGGTAATCCACACAACGAACTCAGGAGGTGAGGTTCTCTTACTATCCTTATTGTATGGAGAAGGGATTGAGGCCCAGAAAGGTCAAGTGTCTCGCCCAAGGTCCCAGAGCAGCAATGGGACTATAGCTGTTTCTCAGGCAGATTAGTTCAGTGTCAGGCTCTTGCTCTTAAGCACCATCCTTACCTTTGGCTGCGGAATAATAATAAGCGATGAAGTTTTTCCCGGTGTTGTTGAAGCTTCGGAAGTACTTGACGGTCATCGAGCTGGAGGAGGACTCGTAGATGAGGTAGGAACCAGAGCAGGTCTTCCCCAGGGACTTTGCCAAGGATGGAGGGCCATCCAGAATTTCAAAATATTCATTGGTGCAGTTCAGGCTGGGGAAGGAGACACTGATGGGTGCCTCTCCTCACCAGCAGACCTTAGACGTATGCTGTGAGGCAGACCCTTTATTTTATTACTGTAAAGAGGCTGTGGACAGATTAAAAGCTTGTCAGTCATTCAAATGAGTGTGGATTCCTTTTATTTTACCTTTTCTCCCTAAGAGTCATTGTCTTGAGGGAATGGGATTTTAACTGGAAGAGGAAAGGGGAGGCTGAGGTATTAGGTGCACCCCTGCTGAGGCCTGAAACCGCAGGGTACCTCGAAGCCTAGGGCCAAGGGCAGCACCAGGCAAACCAAGGCGATTGATCTTCTGGGTGGAAGTTGGCAGAGGCTGCTCGGGCTGCCAGTAGAACATGGCTCCAGGTTCCAAACAGCCCATTTATAAGCTTTTGACAGCCAACCTGCCTAGAAGGAAGTGCGATGTCAATTCTACCCAGCTTGCTTTGTGGAAGTCATGATTTTGTTAGTATATGCACTGCCGAAGTGAGCACGTCATCTGATTTTGTTGGTTGATGTTCTCCATTGCGAAGCTCTGTCTACTTGTGCTAGCATCAGAAAACCATTTCCAGACCTCGTCCCAATGAACCATCCATTTCAAGTCATATTTTGATTAAGCAAAGTTTGAGAGTAATAAATAAAGTTGTTCCTGAGGGTTGATTTCTGTAAGACAGTCATCCATGAAGGATGCCAACTTTCACAATCTATGACATTAAAACCTAGAATTTCTTGATTTACTAGGTCTAGGGTTTTCTGGAACCTACATCTTTAACCAGCAGACTGAAATACATACACACTCTATCTCAATCTCAATCTCTCTCTTTCTCTAAAGACACACACACACACACACACACACACACACACACACACATCTATCTATGCAAAGCATCTAAAGTGAACTTGATTTTAATAAAACATTCATGGAAGCACACAAAAGTCAATCATATTTCAAGGTCCCAGAATAGCAATGGGACTAACTGGAAACCAAAAATTAAGAGCACAGCATCATTTATAATCACACCAACCAAAAAGAAACACCTACATATTAATTTAACAAAACATGTACAAGATTTGTATGCTAAAAATTACAAACAGCTATTACAAAAACTACTTTCGAATGCTAGCTAGGAGATGGGGAAACGGGATCGCTCAAACATTGCTGTTGGGAATGTAAACCAGTAGTCACTTTGGAAAACAGCTTGGCACAGTCTTAAAAAGCTCAACAAGAATTTACCATACAACCTGGCAATTTCATTCTTGATTATTAACCCAGAGAAATGAAAACTTCGGTTTCACACAGAAACCTGTATATGAATGTTCATTAAAGATTTGCTTATAATAGAAAAGACTGGAAACAACTCAAATGTCCTTCGCTGGGGACATGATTAAACAAACTCTGGCACCCATACGATGAAATACTACTCAGCAATAGAAAGGAACAAACTGTTGGTACATAACAGCCTAGATGAACCTCGACGGCATTATGCTGAGTGAAAAAAAGTCAATCTTAAAAGGATACGGACTCTATGATCCCATAGATACAACACTCTCAAAATGGCAAAATTGTAGAGATGGAGAACAGATTACTGACTGCCAGGGGACAGGGAGGGGAGTGGTTTGTGAATATAAAGAGCGAAGAGGTAGTTCCTTTAGGGTAGTGGAATAGTTCTGTTTCTAGATTGTAGTGATGGTTACATGAATCTGTACATAAGATAAAATTGCACAGAACTGCACACACACACACACACGCATACACACATATGGTGAAAAATGAATAAGGTCTGTAGCCTAGCTAATGGTATTGTACTAATGTCAGGTTTGTACTTTTGATATTGTGCTACCGTTATATTAAGATGCCACCAATGAGGGAAGCCAGGTGAAGGGTACCTGGGTCTCTGTGTATTATTTTTGTAACTTTTTGTATGTCTATAATTATTTCAGAGTAAACACTTAAAGACATGAAGGACTCTTTTAGTTATGAGAATTGACCACGGAAATAAATGCTCGGAATTTTAAACTACCGTGTACTTACGTAACATACTTACGACTTACTCAAGATACGGAAATGCCAGCAGCACATGATTGGATGCGTTCGCCCTGATTTCCCACACGCAGGTGATGTTATCATGCCTCGCGCTCTGCGGGGGTTTCCGAATCGCTCCAGATGTGTTGATGATGATGCCGCCACAGTGAGATTTTTCTAAAAGCAGAAAGATCGTTCAGAATTTTCATTTCTTCCATTGGTTCAGTTCACTAATTTTGTAATTCACACATTTTTTTTTTCATTTTTTCCCCCAAAAGGGTTCATTGGTTGTTCCTTTGAGAGTATGTCTTAGGATGTATCAGAGGTATAAACTAGTCTAAAAACTCTTACAAACATAGGACATTAGGTCACGAAAGTGTCTGAATTTTTAAAGCATCTCTCACTTCTTTCGAGGATTCTACACTTGACATCAGCTTGCTGGGCAGAGCAGTTAGCCAGCATTAACCAGAATCTTTCTCTCTGGTTACTTCTTAGTGGTGGGTTTTGTAGCTTTGATTTTTGTCAAGTTACCAGTAGGAATGAGTAAACAGCTTCATTTTCCCAATTAAGGCTGCGCCTACATGGAGCGTCTATATACGTTAAGACGACAATGTTCCACCTTCTCTCCATTGTCATTTATTAAAATTACAGTATTAAAAATCCTCTACTAAGTCCAAAGAAGTTGCCCTGAGTCATTCACTGCCTCCAACACTGGTATCGTTCTGTGTCTGCCTGTCTGTCCACCTATCCGTTTGCTTCTCCATCTGATTGTCTGTCTATCCATCTGTCCAACATTCAGTCCAAAATTAAAGGGGACACTGTGGCAAGGGCTTTCTCCATCCGGTTATCTGGCTGTGTAAGAATTGGACCTACACTCTCTTGTCTCTGGTCATCTTGCTGTCGCTCTTCCCTACAAGGACCAACTAGGCTTTCCAGGCATCAGTATTATTTTACCTCCAAATGGTGCTAAGAAAGTTCAGTGGAACTTCTGGAAGCTGAGGATACAGGCGAGAGCAGAGGAAAAAATTAGAAAATGAAGAAGAGAAAATGGAGAAAGATAGAGATTGTCAGAGAGGAGGGAAAAGGCGTAGAAGAATAAAATGTGCTTGGTGGTGGAGGGCCTCTGGTGGGGCCCTGGCATGCTGCTGTGTTAATGGCTGCATGCCTGTCCCTCCCACGTGGGGTCCATGCTGGGAGACCAAGAAGGCTGGCATCACTAGATTATCTGGACTTCCTTCTTTGACTGAACAGAAATGGAATTAGAACCATACAAGCACTGGCCCTTGTTACTGGACTCTTCACTCAGAACACAGGTTCAGAGGGGTGACCGAGACAGAGCAGGAGTATTTTGCTCAATTTCCTTGAAGAATCACTTCAGGGCTCGAGCTTCAAGGTGATGATCAGGACATCCATGGACACCAAATTCTCACCTATAGGGATCGTCTCTGCCATGGCAGCCAGTGGGCGACCTGTCAAGCACATAAAGGACACGTGAATTTTCAGCTGGCACTGAGGTCCACACCTCTGTCTGCACATGAGACCCTGAGAGGCTTGCAACAGATACGCTGGTTGGGCCCCCAGAACTATCAAGTCAGTCCCTGGGGGTGAGGCCAGAGCACGTAGGGACGTTAATGTGCGGGAGAGAAGCAGCGCTGATCTAGATTCTTCCCAGACATTTATCCATTATTCTCTTGTCATACACACAAATGAAATATTTTTAAATTAGGGGGTTTAAGAAAATGAAAGACATGCAATTCCGGCTTCTGTAGCCAATTCTAGTGACCCAAGGGTCAGGGGTTCCAAGGCTTTGATGGAAGAATAGGAAGAAACACCAGTTCACGGATACCTTTGATCTGGAGCTGCTCGGAGATGGTGTCAGGACCTAAGGATGCTATGGATCCTCCTTTGTGTCCCCAACATATTTCCTACCAGTGACACTTGGCCCAGAATCTCCACTAGGGATTCTCTCCCGGGACCAATCTATTCCCACCTGCTAGAGATGGCAACCCAGGAGGGGGTATGTCTGAAGCTCTACGAGAACTTGTCCACTCAGCCTTGCTCATGACTCACTCCTTGACCAAGAGCTGGCTAAAGGCAGGGCAGCAAGGGACCAGGGTTTTTGATGAAGAAGAGAGGGTACTGGCATGGAAAACTCCAGGTGTTGGCATTGAGAGCGTATGGAAAAACCAACAGTGAGGGAAGCTCTGTGGGGCTGGGGCTGCACCAGGACAAAGGCACAGGCAAGGGAAGGGTGGGAATGGAATTGGGTCACCTTGACTTTGGCCAGGTCTGGCCCACCAGACATCTGCCCCTGGTCAGGAAATAGCCTTAATTGACTCTCGTATCTTAACCACCCCCTTCCCATATCTCATTGCTATTCCCTTGTAACCCTCAAGATTTATGAACCAAAAGTGCTACACAGAAGCTTGAGAAATTTAGAATCTGCTTCCTGTGTGGCGTAGGAGGAGAGGTGGGAGATGAGTCTGGATTAGATGATCTCTAAGGTACTATCCATCTCTCCATTGGACAATCAGGTGAGTCCACATCTCTCAGCCATTCCACCAGCTTGGAGAATAGGAAACATCTAATTTCCAGCAGAACTTCTTCCCCAAGGTTTTGATAAACCACACCTACAAATGTCTCCTTCCCTACCTAGTGGTGTGGCTGTTGAGTGTTCAGCATCTGTAAGTATGAGAGATGAAAACATCTGTTGTGAGTGAATAATGTATTATTTCATTTTCAATAGTTATTTTTACACTGTTTTTTAAAAACTACTCTCTCGGGAAGAGCCAAAGCCAGCTCTGCCTGGGCAGGGAGCTGGGGTTTGCCTGAACAGATCACGCTGGCATCTTCCCCGTGCCCACAGTTATGGGAAAATCGGCCAACATGGGAGCAATCCCCCAGGTGCTGTCTATCTCCCCTGCAGTGCATACTGTCCAGGAGGATCTTTCCAGAACCTTTACCAAAGTGGGCCTCAGGCGGGCTGAAGTGGCCCAGCTGCACCCCGGCTGCCTGCAGATGGTGTTTGCTTGTGACAGATCTCAAACTCCCTGTACAGCTCCCGTGGCTGCCCACCAGGCTCACGGGGACCCAGCCTCCCGAGGAGGAGCAGGGAGTCAATTCAGGAAAGCTCCCTCTGCCTGCTGATGGCTGTGCCATCTTCTGCCCAACCTAGCTTTCCTTGTTTTCCATGACTTTGCTACTCACACCCTTCACATTGCCATGAGAGGCCCCATGCTATTCCCCAGATGTATCTACTCTAAGGAGCCTACGATGTCTTCCTTACCCGCACCCTGTTTTACAGCAGCTTGCATGTGGTAGATCGTTTGCACAAATGGCCCCAGTTCTCCTCTTTATAGTCTGGTCCTTTACAATGTGACATTGCAACTCTTCCTGCCAAGAGGTTGGGCTTATTTTACTGCTCTTTGATTCTGGCCTGGCGGCCTCCGATTTGCATTGGCCAATAGAATGAGACAGAAGCACCCATGAGGAGCTGAGGCCTAAAGAGCTGTGACAGGTTTCAGGTTGCTCCATGTACACTCTGGGACAAGCACATGAATAAGCTTGAGCTAGCCTGCCGGGTGATGAAAGATATGTGACCTTGTTTCTCCTGTCACCTAGATACCAGCCACAGAACTGTAAGACATGCGAGGAGGCCATCCTAGGCCAGGCAGTCTTCAGTTTACCTGCCAGCTAACCACAGATGCATGAGTGAGCCCAGCCAGGATTAGCTGAAACCAGCCAAACCTACACCAGATCAGCAGAACTGCCCAGCTGACCCCTAGACCCGTGAGCAAAAATAAATAATTGATGTTGTTAGCCACTTTGTTTGGGGGTAGTTTTACATGGCAGTAGATAACTCATATACTTTTTCCACACCCCCTTCTTAGGTGACCTGTCCTACCCAAAGCCAGAAGGGGGCATGGGACCAATGCCATGTACCCCATGACCGCGTCTGTCTGGTCAGCTTGACTGGACTGGAGTGTACATCTGACTCCACAGGAACCAAACCATGTGCTGAATTGGGCCAAATTCTCTGCTGGCTATTTGGAATTGGGAAGAGAACCGGAAGGTCATGTGGACTCAGGGTTTGAAGCTGCCGTCTGAGGTAGCCATGATGAGTTGAGTGTGAGTGGGTAAGGGAGCAGAGAAGCTGCTCAGAATAATGGTTCATGGGAGGAAAAAAGAGGGAGAAAGGAGAGCCAGGGTGCGAGAGAATAGCTCTAGGGGAGCTCAGTTCCCTTCTTGTTTGTACTCGCTTGAGTTCTCCCCGTAGTCTGGGGTGCAGAAGGAGCTCAGTGGGACTTCTTTTATGGCACAGACAACTTTTGCCTTATGTTATGGCTTTCTGGCTTTCCGTGTGCAAGACTTGTCTCCTTGCTAAACTGCAAACATCCTGAGAAGTGAGATTATGGCTGGGTCATCTATGTACCCACCACATAACCTGGTTCAGTGCTCGGCACATGGTAGGCATTCAAGATAAAAAGCTATTAAGTAAATGAAGAAAAGAGAAGGACAGAGAGAATAGATCTTAAAAGGGATTGCGCTGAATGAAATGGGTCAGATAGAGAAAGACAAATATCGCAGGATTTCACATATATGTGGAATCTAAAGAACAAATCAGCAGCGACGACAACGACAAAAGTGGAAATAAACTCATAGATACAGATTATATTTAGAGGGATACTAGATGGGAGGGGGGTTGGGAGACGGCAAAAAAAAGACAAAGGGATTAAGAGGTACAAATGGATGGTTGCAGAAGAGACATGGAGATGTAGAGTACAGCATGGGGAGGATGGTTAATAATGTTGTAATAAAGATGTAAGGGGGAAGAGGAGTACTAGATTTAGTGGGGTGATCACTTTACGAGTTATATAGATCTTTGATCACTATGCTATACAACTGAAACCGGTATATTATATAGTTGTATGCCAACTATAAGTGGAAAAAAACTCATCTAATCGTACAATACAAATCCAAGCAACTAATTGTCTATTATATTTCAATAAAGACAAAAAAAATTTTTAAGTTTTCATCGCAAGAAAAAAATTGTGTCACTGTGTGGGTGTGAATTAGATTATTAGATTATTGTAGTGATCATTTCACAATATATACAATATATACAAATATCAAATCATTTACATCCAAAATGAATAGAATGCTATAACGCTGTTATACTTCAATTTAAAAAGTTTTAAAAAGCAAATACAAAGAAGAGAGCTTGGACATATACATTAAAAACGTTAACATAAACAATATAAAAGAGAAAGATACAGAGCGTGCATTCAAGCAACTGAAAGTCGCGGTGCCAACAATGGCATCTTTGGTGATCGCCATACCCCCGAGACCACAGCCATGGCCAGGAGCCATTTCACCAAGGATGCTCTCAGACCCTGGGGCAGGGACAATGTCTCCTCTCTGTTGTATCTGAATCTTTTGGTTGTATAGCTAGATTAAGGGAATGAGGGGGTCCAATGTTTTACTCCTGCCTTATCTGATCTCAGACTGGACCTAATGTGTAAAAAAACAAAATCCAATGCAAGGTTGAATATCCTGAAATATTTCTCAGCCATGATCACAGCAAAAACCATCTTAAAGAGCCCCACTCTTCACTAATTATGTGTGGTTATTGGCCAGCCCTGTGTTCTAATTCAGAAAGCATGTAAATGTCTCCCATCCTGTGTAAATCCAGCCCATAAGGAGCCTAATTGCCTGGTTTCTCCCTGCCTGGCACAATCTCTTTGCCCCCTCACCCTTCAGTTCTTGGCTTAGATGTTATTTCCTCCTGCCATGACCCCTCAGATCTGGATACGGACCCTATTCTGAGCACTCATGGCACTCTGTGCTCCCCCATCACTGTATTCACCACACTCTGTTGTAATAGACCCTTTCCAGTGGACTTAGCCTACATGAGGGTAAATAAAGCAGAGGGTCTGCTTTATTTATTACTATATATATCCCAGTGATACTATATATTCTTAGTGACACATATTCATTCACTCATTCATTGTCAAATGAACAAAGTTGTTCAGAAGGTGTAATACGAAAAGAAACAGCCTTACCTGGAGGTACCGAAGAAGGTGAGTGTTGAGCCACTGATGTCACCGATGATGTGGGAAGTGAGTCCTCATAGGCTGTTGATGGGCAAACAGGAAAGACCGTCATTAGAGAGCAGTCAGAATGTTGGGAGAGAATACACAGTTGTTTCGGGGGTGGGGGTGCAGCACGTGCCTCCTCCCAGGATTCAGCAGGGATAATGATACTGCATTCTAAGGCCAGTGACCTCACATCCTCATGTAGGACAGAACATGGCATTACTGCTTGTTGGCAAACTAGCACGCACCACATGGCCATTAGCAAAAGTATAGCTCATGGGCAATTAGCCCCGAGTGGTCTGCTGAACGACAGGCCATCGGTGGGCCATCATCTCTCTCTTTGCCACCCTCTCCACAGATGTGTCGTGACTTCACCTGAACAAAGCAGGGAAAGACACACAGCAGGTCCTTAGGGGGGTACATGGAGGAAGGCATCAACTCTGAAAGGCATGAGGAGTCCTTTGAGGATGAAGGAACTGTTTCTATATCTTGACTGTGGTGGTGATTACACCATTATACACAATTACCAAAACTCACCAAAGTGGACTTTAAAATAGGTGGATTTTACAGTACATAAATCAAGGCTTAATAAAAAAATAAGATGGGCTGATATGTGAATAGAAGGATGATAAATTGATAAATTTATCATAGACTCTATGTAGGATTTTATTATTAAATTCTCCATCCTCATTATGTATTTGAATATTTTCATAATAAAATGTTGAGGGAAAAGCGTTCTTCAATTTCTACTACAAGACCTACACCTCTGTTTATTAATGACAACCTCTTGCTTTCCCTAGTGGCACGTACTTAATTCGGCTAATCCACATGGCTGCTTCGTCGCTTCT